TAATACAGAAATAATTAGCCCAAGTGACCAACATATACAGGTAGTCCTTGATTTAACAACCATTTGTTCAGTGATGATTTTAAGTTACAGTGGCACTGAAGAAAGTGTCTTATGACCATTTCCTATATTTTCAATGTTGCTTCATCCCTGGAGGTCATGTGATCAAAATTTGGATGCTTGGCAATTGGCATGTATTTATGATGGTTGCAGTATTCTGGGGTCACGTTATCACCTTTTGTGACCCTTTGACAAGCAAAGTCAATGGGGAAGCCAGATTCCCTTGTGTTACAAACTTAACTGCAATGACTCATTTAACAACTATCTTGCTTAGCAACAGAAATTAGTTGTGGAATAACTGTAATGAAGTGAGAACCTTTATATACATTCACAAAATAAATTGATTAGCGTGAACTGTGAAACAACTGTAGTGCTCTCTAGTGCCAAAAATGTATTCTCCTTTAGTACATTTCTTCTCTGAGCTTCCCAACCAGGGGTAGAAAAATAGTTGCTATAAAGCTTCAGTCTAACAATGAATTCCCCTCCACTGTTGAAAACATATTTAGGGATCAATCCTAGTTTTAATAGTTATTAAATGTACAGAATGTACATTTACTACAATGCACCAGCAAAACAGTTATGATAGAGCAAGTTAAAAAGGAAGCCAATCATACATTCTACATGTTATATCCAATGGAATGATACTTCTTTATATCCTGAGCATCAAACTACTTTCTGCTGGGAAAAGAATTTTAAGACACTTCCTTCCAAAAAAATGCCTTTATTTGTCCCTGAGTCCTTACTGTTTCTTATTTGTAACAAGATGATAAACTTCATTGGTGTTTATGAATTTTGTGTAGAAATTAGATTCAGTAAATATTCATAAGTATACATCCTTTACTGTTTGGATAATGTAAACAATTTTAGCGTGAGGTGCCTTTTTTCTGGTTTTAACTACAAATATTAGATGAAAGCAAAACTTTCTCTGAAATAATTTTTATAAACAAATTCTGAAAACAAAATTTTATCTGTCTTGGCGATTTTAGGACCATTTTAATAGTTTTTATTACATCCAAATTTATAATAGGACACCAAGAATGTACTTTTAAATTATCCAGAACATTTGATATACATGTTAACACATAGTATACATAAAACATTTTTCTGAGACTTATTTAGGAAATAATAAGAAAATATATTTATTCCTACTCAACTTTACTGTCATATGTGTTTTAATGTGCATCTGGAAAATTCAACATTTTGAACTGGGCTTTGGGTTGTTTAAAATAATTAAACTATTCATTCATAGATTCCTTGTGTTACAAAAATGAGCTTCCATTCCACCTGCTCAGTAGATAAACAAAATAACATTGATGTTTCTCTCTAAACTAATTTATCTTAATTTTCAGTATTCTCATTAATTTCACTAAAATTACTTTCAAGGAATTTTGCTTAGAATATAAAATTGCTAAATCTCCATTCTGGGATAATGTTTCAGTTACTAAATTTATGTACATATGTCAGTGCAACTTTATTAAAGTTTACTTTTCAGATAGAAATATGTTTTGTTACATTACATAAATTGGATACATCTAAATTAACTTTTCTAACTTCAATACATTGCCAAAACCTAATAACATATGCTCTAATAGCTGATTACCAAGAAGTACAACTTAAAGTTAATTATTATAGAAGGCTTAAATTTTTGATTTATTTAAACCAAATTTTTGAAGCAAATATCTTTCCCTAAGCAGCCTCCCAGAGCTATTAACCATATCCCCAAATTTGGCTGCACTCTGTCAAGTGCTTTCCTCTAAACCAAGTATGAAGATTGAATTTTTTGTCAAATTCTTTCTGTCTGTACTTTGCCCTATGACAATTTGATTAATTTATTTCATTTGTATAACTCAGAGCCAAAGATTCCCAATATTTTCTCATTTTACTAATGCTATAACAACTTTAAGGGAATAATGCCTATTAAATATATATTAAATAGAGTTTATTTTAAGAAAACTATGTAGGACCTGGCAATAGTTTCTAAACAAGTTTTCATTTCCAATATTTTAAATATTTACAAACTTTTTTCTTAAAAGTACTCCATGTCTTTCATTTTATTATTGAAGGGCAAGTATTCACAGCTTGCAACAAATTGATGAGCCTACAGGTGCCTTCATTGACATAGACTGAAAGTTCATTCTAAAAAGTCTTACAAACTGAAATTACATGTGAGGGGGCAAGTAAGGCTGCAAAAATTTGAAACATTTAAAACAAAGGTTACGTGGTCTATCTTCATTTTCCAAGGAAATGAACAAAGCCTTCTCCATCCTTGAAGTTTGATTGTATGACATCTATTGGTCTCCATGAAAACAAAAACTATGGAAAATAAACAGAACAATCCATCTCTGGAAACAATGCAGTTGAACTATAAATTAAAGATGCTTATTCACTTAAAAACAGGGCTATCAAACCTGCGGCCCATGGGCATCACACGCTAGCCATGCCCACTTTAGCGAAGGGGGAAAAAGTCATAATACATCACGTGACACTGGTGGTGCCATGAGTTTGACACCCCTGACTTAAAAAGATACCCAGTTTTATAAACAAGTTGTATTGACACAACTTGCCAAGCCATTATTAAATGAGCCAGATGGGCTGGATTTAAACATGCTAACTCACAAATTATATTTAACCTTAGATTTTTCTGAGATTATTCCCCCATCTGTTTTCTTATTTTAAAGAGGCGTTATTTTAATAAATTTCTGAATTTGGTGTTTTGGTGTATGGTCTATAATTCCCAGAATTCTCAACAACTATTCACACATCTAGAGGGCACTAAAATGTAATCTTTTAGTTGATTTCCTGCTTTAAAGTAATGGAAGGTAATGAGAATTGTAGGATATGTAGTTTGGGAAAACTTGCCAAATATTTCTAGCAGTTGCTGCATAAGATAACTAAGAGCATTCAACTTGCTTTAGGATTGCTTTATCCTGTAAGAGTTATCTCTCTACTCTGAAATGCTTAGCAAAAGACTTCCAGAGGAAGAACGGTAGACTGAAAATAGCTACCTTGCTCAAACTAGTCCATGCCTTTAAAAGGATACTAAGTTTGCATACTTTCCTAATTACATTTAGAAATAGCTTATTCACTACTTTTCAGCAATTAGAAACCTTTGAAAGTGAAAAATCTGCAAAAAGGATGATTTAAACAAGCTTTATAAACTTAATTAAAAAAAAAATCAAAATGTCCTGATAAACTTGAAATAAGATTTTGGAATTATAATCCTTGCTATGGAAAAATGCTTTTGTTTTGGATAAGATTTTAAAAATTGGACTCTAGAGGGAACTAAAGATTAAAGGAGAAAAATACAAACTCGAAAATATGATGCCAGATATTCTTAACATTGGAAATATTGAATATTTTCAAAAAATGAATTAGAAATTAATATTAACATCTGCCTCTATGGATAGACTGTGTCTAAAAGATGTTGTGGAAGAGGAACAAGTTTTACCTGACAAGACAGAAACTAAGTTGAAAGTACTTACAAAAGACAGGTTGTAATATGAAAAAACATGTTTCAATTGCCATACAAAAGAAACTTGTTTAAATAATTAAAAGGGACTGCAAACATTAAACCAAGAAAGTGACCTGGGTAATTTTTCAATTTTGGATTTAGAAAAGAGTTTTTAAAAAAAGTTTTGAAGTATTTCATAAGGGGCAAAGAATAAAATCAAGTTCTATGATATTAGAATGGATGAAATATTAAGACTGTAAAATAAAATGAAGAAATATAAACTTGGTTAATTTGATCAAGGTTAAATAGATTTTATAGATGGGTATAGAGATTATTGTAATTTAAGAAGATGTAAGAAGTTACTAAAATTGTTTATACTTGTGATGGTTGGGAGTCATTTCATTTATCTTTTTCTTTATTATTTCTTTATTATTTCTCTGTGTTTTTCCTATTTTTCCCCTTTGTACCTTTTATTCCTTTCTATTTTTCTATCATTTTGTTTGTGTCTGTACTGTTATCTTTAACAAAAATTACTTGAAAAAAATGAAATGGTTAGCACAGAAAACAGATCAGCCTTTAGTGACATTCTCTGTAGTTTGGAACTCCTATAGAGATTTCAGGTAGCACTTTCTACAAACTTGCTAAAAATATTTTTGGAGTGTAGCAATCACCTACTGTGTTCTCTGTGTGTGATTATATATGTGTAAAGTAAGCAATATATAATTTGTTTGAATAACAAGTGCTGTTAGTTTTACAGTGCTAGTTTCAATCTTATTAACAGCATGTATCTTGTTAAAAATGGCATGCTACTCATATGTGGAAAATGTAATTGGCAGACATTAACTCTATACCTGCTGTGGAAAAAAACCTCTTAGATCATGTTGAAACTAACACTGGCTTTCATGCTGGAAACCAGTATCAAACAGTACTTAGTATACAGAGGGGGAAAATAAAAGTATAAAAGTTTAGAGCAATAAACCATAACCAGCTTTTATCACTACATGTATCATTTGTGTATTTACATCTATCAAGTTGAAAATACATATAGTATTTCCTTTTTGCTATTACTTTAGTTTTAAAGACATTGCATAGGAAGAGAGATAACTCATTTGCCTTTGTTTTCAAATTATACAGGGATGCTTTTTTTCTGATCTCTTGTTTTTATGATATACTTTGACAACAGATTTTTGTATCAACTTTAAACTGTCATTCTGATACTACCCTGCTTACACTGTAGGATGAAAACAGTCTATATGTTCATAAAAGCTTATTTACCTTTTAATAAAAATAGTTAGAAAAGGCACTACCATCATCTGGCATTAAAAGGGCATAGCTTAACACTTTTTTTGCCATCCACTTTACAACTTCCATGCCAATTACACATATATGTAGTCTAATATATATATATATATATATTAGATAGATCATGGGGGACAAACAAACCAACCAGGACAAACAAACCAGTCTTGGTTGGAGAAACAAGAAAGTGTGTTGGAGGTAGTGGAGAAAACTCAGGAAAAAAACCAGGTTCTTCTAAAGTAGAAGTGAAGGTGTCACAAAGATCAAGTGGTCTCAATTGGGCCAGCTGGAGGAAACAAGTATTTGGGAAAACAACCAAGGGAAGCAAACCGGTGAAATTTCAAAACAGGCAGGTGCTTGAAATGGAGCTTACCAGCTGTGAGGGGGAAAAAGGTTAAGGTGTGAATTTGAAACTTTAAGACTTCTAAGCAAACAAAGTGCAGCCTTTTTTTTTTAAAGTAATCAAAATATTGCTTGAAGACAATGAAGACAAGCAAAGGAAGCAAATGCCAATTCAACACATTTAATGACCTTTCCAATCTTGCTTTATAACCATTGTAGGACCAGCCAAACAGCTCTTTAAAAATTATTTGATTCATACATATTAAATTTGTATTATGCCACCTCGTTTAAAGACAGTATTTTCTTTATTCAAAAGTGCTCCCTTTCCAGCCAAGAATATTCAACAAAGCTACAGTAAACTGAGCATATATGCCTAAGAGATATCCTTAGTCCCATTTAAAAATCAGGTAAGTTTCACAATAAACAAATACAGTACCTGTCTAAACGGTATGTTATCATTCTTAAGAATTAATTCAGAAGCCAGGCTCCCTGGCTACTACATATACAAACTAGAAACTATACTCAGTTATTTGATACATAAATCAAGAACATCTCTCTGTACATTCTACATCTTCATATTATTTAAATATATTAAGAAACATCATTTGATTACAATCGGTGTTTAAAAAACAAACAAACCAAAAGGCATTTGCCGCCTTCTTTACAGCCCTGTAGAGGGCACGCGAGCGCAAAAGAACAGAAAATGAAATGAAAGACTGAAATCGTAGTGGATATTTTTTTTCTTTTCTTTCCTTGGTCCAATGTTTTTGATTCGCAGTCCTGGTCTCCACACAAACACTGACGCGGCCAAGGCTCGGCAAGCGTCCCCTAGCGGAGCTTCTTGCCCAGGATATGCCGGGCGTTTTTAAGCGGTGGTTTGGGGGCGCTGCCGTGCATTTTAGACAAGGGGCAATACTTGATCGTGTGCGCGTTGTCTCCACTGGCTCCACAGAGAGGGCAAGTGTATCGCCTCAGCACGGGGCACAAGACTCTGCCGTCGGGTCCCTTAAGGATGTGCGTGGTGTAGAGGGCCACGGCTTCTTTATTATTCCGGCAGAAAACGCACACTTGCAATTCCGGCTTCAGCAGCCTGGAGGCGCTTTTCGGAGGCGCTGGCAGTCGGCCGTCGACCACCAGGCGGCCGCCCCAAGCGTGAGGCGAGCGATCTCTTTCCAGATGGTCAGGGGAGCAATTGAACACCACCGAAGCCGGGCTGGCTCTGCCGGAGAAGGGGCTAAAATCGGCGAAACGCTCCTCCAGCAGGTTTTCGCTCGGGTTAAGGTGGTGGTGGTGATGGTGCCCGTACAAGTCAAAATCGTGCAAATCCAGGGAGCTCTCGAAATAAGGGGCTCCCACTTCGTCGTCGTCTTCCTCGTCTTCCTCCTCCTCGTCTTCTTCTTCCTCCCCCTCCTCGCCTTCCTCGGTCGCCGGGACCTGCTGCACGGCGGCCGCCACAACCACGGAGGAGGATCCGGTCCGAAAGCCCTTTTCCTGGCTCACCGCTTTGGTGATCAGCGTGGCCAAGCCCAGGTAATCGTTCCAAGAGTTGAACGCGTTCCCGTAAGCGCTGTGGTGGCTCTTCGTCGCGTACCTGCCGCCTCCTTGCAAAAACTCCACCGGCTGATGGTGGTGGTGGTGTCGGTGGTGGTGATGGTGCTTCTCTAGCTTGCTCGGGTGGAAAGCCTCCATCGGAAGGGAAAAGACCCCGGACCGCTTTTGCGCGTCCCCTCCAAAACAAAACCCCACACAAACACACACCAAAACCCCCCTCTGGCTTTTCCCAGGCGAACGCCCCGCGAATAAGAGTCGGCGAGCGAGCAACTCTCACCGAAACAGCAGCTGAAAACTCCGCCTTCCCTTCTGCGAAGCTTTTAAGCGCTTGCAGCTGCTGAAATGGGGAGGGGAGAGGGAGAGCTGGCGGGACAGAGGAGGCGCAATCCCGAGGCTTGCGCTCCCATTGGCCGGCAGCCAAAGCTGCCCCACCTTCGCTTGCCCGTTATTGGCCGAGGTGCTCGGCTACCCTTTTTCATCTCTTCCCAACGGGGCGTGGGGGCGTTAAGGTCGGCCGCTTGCCTCGCGCCTTTTAACTGGGAGCAGGTTTGTGAGCCGCGGAGGTTTTGAGAGACCGACGACCAATGGAGGGTCTCTTTCTTTTCCTCCTGTAGTGATATTGGAATTAACCCTGGAATCCCTTTTCGGTTATTTTCAGAACTAAGTTTATTTTTTATTTATTTATTTGTTTGTTTGTTTATTTTGCTGCGCTGGCAAGACTCCAGGTGTGGTTGAATTAGAACAAACCAACGTGGTAAAATCGAAGTTGGCTTCAGTTCTGCTCTTTTTCCAAAGGAGAGGAGAAAATATTACAACACATTCTTCTTTTTTATTCTTTTCTTTCTATTGGCCAAGTGTGATTGGACACACAAGGAATTTGTCTTGGTGCAAATGCTCTCAGTATACATAAAAGAAAAGATACATTTGTCAAGAGTCAAGAATCATCAGGTACAACACTTAATAATAGTCATAGGGTACAATAAGCAATCAAATCATACTAGGAAACAGGCAATAAAAATAGTAAGGATAAAAGCGACAAAGTTACAGTCCTACAATCACAAGTGGGAGAGGATAGGTGATAAGGAGTGATGAGAAGGTTAATAATAATAGTAGTGCAGACTTTGGACAGTGTTGAGGGAATTTTTTGTTTAGCAGAGTGATGGCTTTCGGGGGAGAAAAAACTGTCCTTGTCTCTAGTTGTTCTGGCGTGCAGTGCTCTATAGCGTTGTTTTGAGGGAAGGAGTTGAAATAGTTTATGTCCGGGATGTGAGTCTGTAAATATTTTCACAGCCCTCTTTTTGACTTGTGCATGTTGGGCATGTGTACAAAAGATGCACCCAATCAAGATTGTTCTTTTTCAGTGTCCTCTATATGCAACACACAACTCCTTGTTTCCCTGTCTGTGTGTGTTTGGCAAGCAGGTGGAGGTGGTTTATACAGAAGACTTGTGTGGATTTTGCAGGGATTGTGACCATGCACTTGGAAATACTGTTTGCAGAACTTTATTTCTCATCACACTGCCATCTTACCCCATATGGCAAGCCACAAAAACAGTGTTATGTTTTTATTGACTTTGTTTGGTCCTCTAATATCATACATTGGAGTTGCGAAGACCAGAAAGATGCTGGCCATCTGCTCTGAAGAACTGGGTAAACTCAGAATTGATTGACTGCCTTCATGTATCTTTTCTTAGCTGGCAGTACCTCACTGTCTGAAGGTCCAGCCAGATGGCCACATCAAAGTGTTTTCCTCCAGTTTCCTCCATTACATGTTGCACTTATTGGTGAACAAATAGGCAACAATACAAACTGCTGGCAGAATTGGGTTTCCTTCCTGATTCAAATGAGTTCTATGCAGGACACATTGTCTAGGGATTTCTCAAAAGCATGTTAAATATTTTGGGAAACCAGCTGCAAATTCTTCCAAAATAGTCCTAAATCCCAGGTATATAAGATACTTGGACAAAACAGGAGAAACACTATAAAATATACCAGTCAGGCATAATACAGGGAAAATATTTCTGTGGAAGCCACTAAGTTTGATCTACCACACACAGAGTAGTTACATAGATAGTAAACTAAGTAACCTAAAATGACTAATATAACCAGGCAGATCCCATCAGTAAAACGTGCTATCATAACCATGGCAAACCTATGAGGAGCAGAGAGAAAACACTATTGTAGACAGGTGAAGATATTGAACTGACTCAGCTGTGGCCTGATCCGAGGAAGCAACATGAGAACACATAACAATTATGGGTATTCATGCTGTGATTAGGGGGTGTGGTTGACCCCCCAACAAGGTTCATTTATTACACTGAGCCATGACTTCAAACTGCAGATCAGGTCCCACCCAAACAGTCATAAATCAGCATGGTAGTGAGGTTTCTCATTTTGAGTATTTTAAATCCCAGGGACTATTTATTGCATTCATACATAAATTCATTGGAGTATGAAAATGACTGTCCCAAGACATTTGTTCTTTGTTTGGTTTGCAGACTTGATTGTGGTTTATAAACCATGATTTATAGCAGGCATAAGTGACAATGTTTGGCCTCCAAGAACCTGGCTTGTAATGTGCTTGTTTCACTAGGCAACATTGCCTTTTGATATTAGGATAAAGGGGAGATGCAATGTCAATAATCTGTTTTACCTCGTTTTTAAAATTTAAATGCTAGTGGTTTTGCTGCCAGAACTTGGGATGAATTGGGATTTCTTTAGGGAGCAGTTTAGTATGAAAGTCTTCACAATATTAAATTGTATTAAAGTATATTTAAAATTAAGGGATGCGGGGGCTCAGTGGCTAAGACGCTGAGCTTGTCCATCAGAAAGGTTGGCAATTTGGCGGTTCGAACCCTAGCACTACATAACTGAGTGAGCTTCCATTACTTGTCCCAGCTTCTGCCAACCTAGCATGTCAGATTGTTTACAGAGTGACTACTATTGTGAGACAACCCAGGAGCAAAACACAGGACACAGTCTTTGTCTTTTAACAGTGGTTTATATACAAGACTACTATATATATACATACACATGTAGGCAAATACCAGGCAATCAATCTTCAACTCTACATGGAGGACTACAGTGGAGATAGAACAAGAGGAGAGACGCCCTCAAATGGTCTCCTTATATAGACAGCTTCTTAAAGCAGCAGTACCCTGCTGACTCATCCCCAGTTCATCATCTTGGCTTACAGCCTTACAGCAGCTGGTTAACTATTAATCTTCATTACCTTAGTCATGCCAGCCAAATGACCATGGACACATCTTCAGACAATGCTGGCTCGTTGGCTTTGTAACGGATATGAGCACTGCCCCCTAGAGCCGGAAACAACTAGCACTTATGTGCAAGGGGAACCTTTACCTTTATATTTAAAATTACATTTCAAATCTTGGTTTCTGTAAACCCAAAAGGGTAGCTACTTTGGAAACATCCGACTAAGTCTAAGATTCTGGTTCATGAGATAGATTTTTAGATTTAGCATGTTATGTAAACCCAGAGAAATAGTTTGGTCTAATGGTGAAGACACCAGAAATCAGGAGACTGACTTCTAGTCCTGTCTTAGGCATGAAAATTGACTGGGTGACTTTGAACTAAACCACATTCTCTCTCTCTCATCCAACAACATCAGGCTCAGGTAACAAGCCACTCAATTCTTTTTGTAACCAATGGATTAAACCCTAGAGTGAGCTGAAAAATTGCAGACCCTGCAAGTGGGGGGAAACTCTAGTTATATAACCATAGAGGCCTAGCAAACAGCAGAATTGAGAATGGGAGATAAAACTGAAATCAATCTCACATATCTTGTAACTTTGGTATAAAAAAAATGGATTTTGGCAGTTGTAAGCTTTGTGAGTCTCACATCACAAATTGCACTAAAAATTTATGTAGCTTGTGTGCAGTGGTGGGATTCAATTATTTTTAGTACCGGTTCTGTGGGCGTGGCTTGGGTGGGCATGGCAGGGGAAGGATACTGTAAAATCTCCAGTCAGAGGTGGTATTTACCGGTTCTCCAAACTACTCAAAATTTCCAGTACCGGTTCTCCAGAACTGGTCAGAACCTGCTGGATACCACCTCTGCTTGTGTGGTAACAGTAAAGGAGGCAAATTCCAAACCTACAGAGAGATTTCTTGCCACAGTTGTTAAGTGAATCATTGAAGTTGTTAAATTAGTAACGTGGTTGTTAATTGAAACTGGCTTCCCCATTGAATTTGCTTGTCAGAAGGTTGCAGAAAGTGATCATGTAATCCTGGGACACTGCAACCGTCATAAATATGAGTCCGATGCTGAATTTTGATCATATAACCATGGAGAGGCTACAATGGTTGTGTGAAAAAGTGTCATAAGTCAGTTTTTTCAGTACCATTGTAACTTTGAAACAGTCTCTAAATGAACTATTGTGCTACCTGTATCACACTAAGAGAAAATAAGCTACATCATGATTCTGCTTACAGAACACATTGGGACAGAAAATTGTCAGCTCATTTCAGTCTACAATGTTGGATGAACCTATATTAGTTCAATGTGCTCTGCAAACCCAGAAAGCTGAAGTAAATTAAATTTAAAGCTACCAAGGGATATGTTGCAAAAAAACCATATGAGCCCTAGATGGCATCAAGGAAAATTGGAAAATTGCTCTTGGTTGACTCTTAGTGGTTGTTTTTACAAATTTTTACAGCTCATTATTTTTTCTTACTTTATATAAAAGAAAAAAGAAACAAAAAAAGAAATCCATGCCTAAAAAGAAAAATAGGAAGGGAAGGTAGAAAGAGATATACAACTTATAACAAAACTTACCATTTTCAAATGCGCTATTGAACAATAGAGATGATACAGTTTACAATTCCCATATTGCCAATAGACAGTTCAAAAGTTGAAATTGAACACATCAGTCCAAGAAGATAAATCTCATTTGGTACAGTCACAATAGAATAATATTTTGCTTTGCGCAGTGCTTAATAAAGCCATGGCTCTTTATATATATCCCAATTTATCAATATCCATTTTTGGTACATAATTGCATTTTAAAGTGGATTATATTGTTCCAGACTATATTAATAAATATAATTCATTAAAAGAGCCATGGTAGCACAGTGGTTAGAATGCTTATACTGCAGGCTACTTCTGCTGACTGCCAGTTGCCAGCAGTTTGGCAGTTCGATTCTCATCGGCTTAAAGTTGACTCAGCCTTCCATCTTTCCAAGGTCGGCAAAATGAGGACCTGGATTGTTGAGGGTAGTATGCTGACTCTGTAAATTGCTTAGAGAGGGC